TGGGGCGTTCTATTGAGCTTCGCCTCTTGGTATCCATGCTCTTTGGTTTACCTGCAAACAAATTAGCATTGTTAGCGTTGGTTATCTTCTGAAGCTAGCAGTTAGCTACACTGCTGGCAGGTCAACAACTTAAACAGTGTTGGGTTGGAGACGTTTAGTGGATAAGATCAACAACAACAAAGTTTGACTTACTTTATGACTGCAGCAGCAGTGCGTCTCAGACACGGTGTGTTTACTTTGAAAATCCCCGGTGATCATCTTTCTCAGTTGTGAGAAAGTGTCGGAAATATCATTGTATAACAGTTATGAATGATGTTAATTATTTAGGCTATTTGTTGTTAGTTGTATTTATTTCATTTCGCTCTCCTTAAATTGACCGCTGCAGCCAACACGCTTCAAAACAACGCGCAACTTTTACTTTGAAGGCTGTTTCTGGCTCTCGACTTCCTTTTTCAATTTTCATTGTACAAGTTGGATAAAGGAACAAGCTGACGCTTTGACGCGCTGAATTGCATTACACGTCTTATGACAATGAAATAGGAAATACCCCCAAAAGTGGGATTTTTCATTATACAACGTGAACAATACAGATGAATTATACTTAATGCATGGACCTGGACCCAGAATGCTAATGTGATTTTTAATTAGTGTTTATAATGTGTATGTTCAGAACATGGTGGCTTATGTTGGTAATTGTGATTTTGTGCTGGTTTATGTTTTCAGCCATGAGGTGTGAGTGATTTGACTGTTACATTTCTTTTGTAAAGCTGTATTTTCCAATTGAAATGGATGTGCTTAAAAGTGTTTTACAAAAGCTGTGTATAACTGGAAGCTACACAGAATTTTCTTGAAGGTTAAGCCCCCTGCTGGACCACCTGATGCTATGCAAGTCTTTCATGAACTTAATGTAGTTGACAATGTAACAAAAAGGACCTTTGTCCAGCAGTTCCTATATACACAAATAAGGTAACATAACATTTTATGAATCGCGATTTTTTATTTTCTTTTTATACAAAGCAATCATAGTCCAACAACCCAGTGAAAAGTACATCTTATGTGCCCTCCCAGATAAATAAAATGAATCAATACATTCATCTTCAGTACAGACAAGGACTTCATGTGCTTCCACCTTACACAGTAGACATTCACTGCTTAAACCACTATTGTCTGCCCTATGATATTCCTTCATATACAGCAATCTTTCTCATTCTTGTTCCCCAAACCTGAAATGCAAGTGTTCCAGGTGCTCTCCAGTTCCTGAGAACACTTTGCTACCAAATCATATTTCTGTGTGGATCCTTTTTTTAGTAAATTGAGGGACTCCCCCAATTAAATAAATATGTCAAAATTTATCTTATTTATCTTCATCAAATGACTCACCTAAATCCCTTTCCCAAACACCTTTCAGAGCTGCCACAGTTTGGTTTCTCCCATAGGACAATATCATTTTGTAAATTTGGATAGCTCATGTCCTTACAAAAAACCTTTAAGAACTCCTCTGCTGGTTATGGGGCCCGGAGACATGATTCAAAAATCATCTTTAAAGGCTTTCGTAAGTCTTCCTATGCTTGAAAAGTTTTTGTCACATACAGCAAACATCTCCTCACGATCCGCTAGCTACATGTCCTCTGAATATGCTGCGATCTAGCTCTGTAGTGTTTGATAACATTGTTGAACGTAAACAGAAGTGACGCCCAACGGTACTTAGCGTGCCTTTAAAGCATGACGTAATATAAAATATCTTGAGAGGTGAGGACCAGATAAACTTTGTACTGATAGGTTATAAAGTGCATCTTCACAAAACTGTCTCTACTTCTATAGCTCTCCAGTGTAAGGATTCCCTTGTCAAATTTACCCAGATACTAAAAGCGTTATTTATACACTGAACAAAAATATAAACCTGTGTTCGTTGTCCATAACATATGCCTGCCCATACCATAACCCCACGGCCACCATGGGCCACTCGATCCACAACGTTGACATCAGCAAATCGCTCATCCACACGACGCCACACACGCTGTCTGCCATCTGCCCTGAACAGTGAAAACCGGGATTCATCCATGAATAGAACACCTCTCCAACATGCCAGACACCATCGAATGTGAGCATTTGCCCACTCAAGTCGGTTACGACGACAAACTGCAGTCAGGTCGAGACCCCGATGAGGAGGACGATGAGCATGCAGATGAGCTTCCCTGAGACGGTTTCTGACAGTTTGTGCAGAAATTCTGTGGTTATGCAAACCGATTGTTGCAGCAGCTGTCCGGGTGGCTGGTCACAGACGATCTTGGAGGTGAACATGCTGGATGTGGAGGTCCTGGGCTGGTGTGGTTACACGTGGTCTGCGGTTGTGAGGCCGGTTGGATGTACTGCCAAATTGTCTGAAACGCCTTTGGAGATGGCTTATGGTAGAGAAATGAACATTCAATTCACGGGCAACAGCTCTGGTGGACATTCCTGCAGTCAGCATGCCAATTGCATGCTCCTTCAAAACTTGCGACATCTGTGGCATTGTGCTGTGTGATAAAACTGAACATTTCAGAGTGGCCTTTTATTGTGGCCAGCCTAAGGTACACCTGTGCAATAATCATGCTGTCTAATCAGCATCTTGATATGCCACACCTGTGAGGTGGGATGGATTATCTCGGCAAAGGAGAAGTGCTCACTAACACAGATTTAGACAGATTTGTGAACAATATTTGAGGGAAATGGTCTTTCGTGTGTATAGAAAATGTTTTAGATCTTTGAGTTCAGCTCATGAAAAATGGGAGCAAAAACAAAAGTGTTGCGTTTATATTTTTGTTCAGTGTAGGAGGATTTAACTTTGTCATTGCTGCAAGAGACTACAGAGAATTATTTCATTTTAATGGAGTGTTTCTATTTTAACCGGTGCAGCACTGTAGCATTGGTTTGACGGACCATGAAACTCACAGAACAATTGCATTTGTTATATCATCTCATAATGCTACTCAACCAATCAAATCTGTGCATTCCAAAAAGCACTGCGGCTTGAGTGTGTGAGATACATATGCAGGAGAGAGACAAGATCAGAGTCGAGACAACAGTTGGAGAAATAAGTGAAGGTTTTGGCAACTTCTTGATCTGAATCAGTGGCCAAATGATGTGGAAAAGTTTTCTTGATCAGTTAATTTACTCAATGGACCGTTTTTTCGGCAGACATTTTGACTTGTCATAGTAGGAAAAGCACAGGTGAAGTTAATGACAATATGAAAGACTCAGTGACATTAAAGCCCAGTTCAGACCAAAGAATCGCAACAAGACAAGTTGAAAAAGGCAACTACTTGCAATGTGCTGTTCTGCAAAAAGACCTGCCGGTTCACACCACTGCAACTAGATGAGAAGGTGTATCATCTCTATGCAACAACTCTCTGTACTTTCCAGCTGTTCAGGCTTATTTTGTAGCTGAATATAATTTGTAGCTTCTTTAAATATGAATGAGGATAGTGAGATACTGGCTACAGTTGCATTTGTAATAGTGATGAAGTGGTGAAAAACAGAAAAAAACGAGCGTCAGATGGACTGTATTCATAATAATATGCTACAATAATATAAAAAACCAGCGCCTATTAATCAGTCAATGAGAACGTGTGCGTGTGTGAGAGGGACATAAACACATACAGCGAGCAGCAGCAGCGACCCATCGTCCGACACTGTCACACAATATAGACAGAAACAGAGGGCTCGGCGGGGATGGAGCACCTGCTGCAGCAAGGGAACACACTGTCTGTGGTCACTTTGACTGGATGGGCAGACTGGCACTTCACTACAAGCTGTCTGGCTGTTGAAACAGATGAGATGTTTTACATTTTAAAACCATTGACCGGCTATTTGACCAGCTGAGTTGCTGGTGACACCATCAGCTGGCTTGAGTCGAGCTCTGACCGGCCAGTTCACACCACTCCAACGTTTCTCTGCAACGTTCTAAAACGTCTTGTCAGAAATCATTGGTCCGAACTGGGCTTTAGTCTGCCATATAACTTTTCTAGTGTGCCAGCATGCCAGGACCTGCACTAAATTGAATACACCTATCATTAATATTACTAAATACACCTCTCCTTTCCTTTCCTATTACAGGTTAAAATATCAGCTGTGAAAAAGGTCTGTTCCCATTCATGAATTAGTCTGTTCTCACATTAGTGATCATAACTGATCATGTCCAAATATTTAATTGATTTAAATGAAATTAATCACCCTTTAAGAAGTAAAAATAGTTATAACCTCAATGTTTTTTGAGGCTTTTTTCTGTCTCAGACAGTTTCAGTACTGTGGCTTTTGATGTCTATTTATGTCTTTCCATTGAAAGACATAAATAGACATCAAAAGCCACAGTACTCATGGGCTTTTGTCATTATTTTTGAAATATGGATTAAATCACCAATTGCCTAACAGCGCATTCAACTCACAGAACTGACAAAACATAATTTGATTTGATAAATATTGCGATGGAGTTTCTTTGTCAAGCATGTCAAATGTATGTTAAAATAGCAACTTGTCCTATTTATGCAGCGTTCTGGACCCATGCAGGACTCTGGCCAGAAGTCTCATTTTTGGACGAGAGGGTGGATCTGACTTGTAGCTACGCCTGCACACAGCCTGTCACTCAAACAGCCTTGCCCTTAATAGTAAATTTAGGCTTTATAAAAGATAAACAGGTGAGTTACATAAAAATTCACCCCTGTACAGTTGTCATGAACGGGGAAATTATAGAGACCAAAAGTGTTTTTTGTACAAGGCTGTAAACATGTTTATTTCTGCTGTAAAGCTGGGCATTTTTACACAGGGGTCTGTGGGAATTGATGGCTTCTGGAGCCAGCCTCAAATGGTCATTAAAGGAACTCCAAGTTTTGGCAACTTCTTGATCTGAATATGTGGTCAAATGTATGTTAAAATAGCAACTCGTCCTATTTATGCAGCGTTCTGTGTTGCCACAAAAATAAATCAATACATTTAAATGCTTTAAACAGAATGCAGCCAAAATACAAATTCTCAGCACATGGTTGTACTGCAAAACTTTATTTAAACCTTGTTTTTAATCAAACATAGTGTCCAAACACGAAGACATGCAGCTCTGGCTGACTTTCCATTAACAAAGTTAAAGAACTTTAATTTCCTCTAAATAGCTTCAACAGATAACAGATAACCATCTGTAAGAATGCATGAATGAGGTTAAAAAATAAATTATGCTACATTCATGCGGTGAATCAATGACCCATTTTTAAAACATCTTGATGAATTCTACATGTTAAATTGCCTGTTTCTATCTTTAATTTACCAAATGATATTATTGTACTGACACAGGAACACATGATGTTGCCTTGAGTTTTTATCTTTCACTTTTCAAACCTTCAACAGTTAACCGGAGTTTTGTAGAGTAACTCGTGGGGAGAATGCTGTGTTCACACTGCTGGGCTGTGAGTCCATGTTGAGATGAGAACATGACAGAATCACATTGGAAGTGGAGTGGCGGTCACCTTCCACAGCTCCTATAGAAATTAATAGTAATGTATATTAATAAAAACCTTACTGAACCCTCCTGGGGAAATTCATCCTCTGCATCTGGTCCACCCAAACTGTGGAGTGGGAAACCACAGGACGTGAAATCCATTTTCAGGTCAATGCCTGAAAGATAATTCCTAATACCTAACAAGGGCAAGTACGATCAGAGTAGCGTTGGCCCAATAATACTGCAAAATTGTGAGACAGTGCATTTGCATCGGTAGGACAAAGTAACATCCCACCTAGTGCAAAGAAGTGTGAGTGTTATGTTGCCTCTGTAACACCTCAAATAAAAAAATCATACTTGTGTGGGGTTTTTTTTTTAATGATATACCCCTTTTTGACAGTCATGAGCTGGCTTGGTGTGGTCCATCAGCCCAGCACGGCAGGGATATGCATTTCCATTACAACAGGGCAACCTGCTTAACGGTGTGTCTTTAAGTGATGATGGCTTGTCTTAAGTCATGATGGTTAAAAGCAGAATGCTGATCCATGGCTAAAGTCCCCTGTCATTTTTGCTGCATGTGTTTTTCCATCACACAGCAGGGCAGGTAAAAGAAGTTTATGTGTTGGAGGTGAGCTGTTTGCAGAGCCGCAGTAAGAGCTTGCTGTCTGCAGCTCTAACTGTGCGTTCACACCAGATGCGAGTGAAGCGAATTGCACGCGCATGACGCGAGTGCATATACGCGAAATTCGCGTCCAACGCCTCATCGCTCGAGTTGAAAATATTGAACTTTTGAGGCGAATTCGCGTGACGCTGTGCCGCGAAAGCCAATCAGCGTTGAGATTCTCCCGACGTCACTGGCGTGTGTCAACAACAATAAACTGCTACTCACCGGAGACAGATGGACAGGCGCTCCGCAGCTGAAATAGAGCGGCTGTAGTTGGTGTCCTGCCGGGAGATCCTGGCACCAACGCTCGCCAACAGGTCCTCAAACTGGGCCCCAGTCAGCCTGAAGTACTGCTGAAAGCGGCTATCATCCAGACGGAGTTCCTGGAGGAGGTGGTGTAACTCACCGAGCTGGATGCGCTTCTGCAGGATAGGGTGAACCCAAAAACGACGGCGTTTGGCCCTCCGACGCATCTGGGACTTCCAGAGGAGGTAAACAACAAAGCAGCGATGGTGGTTATCTTGCCATGGTCGTCAGTGACGTCTTGACGCCCCGATGTCCAGTTGTTGATGCCGAGATGAAGGAGAAATTTATTATTGCGGTGTGCGGCTACCCGGAGCTATATGATACTACGTGTCTACTCTGCAGAGACCCCAACAAAAAGGAGCAGGCTTTGGTGAAAGTTGCCGAGGAGACTGGTCTACTTGGTAAGTTCTGTAAATATGTGTGTTTAATTAGTTTGCAGAATGGTTGTACTATGAACGTTAGCACTAGCTTAGCTCCGGCTAGCACAGCCGGCTTCCCCGCTACTCGCGCGAATGACGCGATGTTCATTCGCATCATCGCCAGTCTCCTCGGCAACTTTCACCATCGCTGCTTTGTTGTTTACCTCCTCTGGTCCCAGATGCGTCGGAGGGCTAAACGCCGTCGTTTTTGGGTTCACCCTATCCTGCAGAAGCGCATCCAGCTCGGCGAGTTTCACCACCTCCTCCAGGAACTCTGTCTGGATGATAGCCGCTTTCAGCAGTTCTTCAGGCTGACTGGGGCCCAGTTTGAGGACCGGTTGGCGAGGGTTGGTGCCAGGATCTCCCAGCAGGACACCAACTACAGCCGCTCTATTTCAGCTGCGGAGCGCCTGTCCATCTGTCTCCAGTGAGTAGCATTTTATTGTTGTTGACACACGCCAGTGACGTCGGGAGAATCTCAACGCTGATTGGCTTTCGCGGCACAGCATCACGCAAATTCGCCTCAAAAGTTCAATATTTTCAACTCGAGCGATGAGGCGTTGGACGCGAATTTCGTGTCTATCGCGCCGCGCTGAACGCCTCTATCGCGTCCATCGCGTCGCGCTAGACGCGTCTAATCGCGTCTTTGCATTGACTTTGTATGTAACCTTGACGCGCGAATTTGCGAATTCGCGTTTGGTGTGAACGCAGCTTAAGGCCATGTTTACCCGAAAACGATCCACTGAAAACAGAATCGTTTCTCATTTTCGTTTTGAAAAAAGTTCCGTGTTTAGACGACAAAGTTTTGATAACAATCGCCATGCACATGGATCCGCAAAAATGACCAAAATGCTGCAGTATACATGCCAGGCCAGTAGTTGGCGGTGTGACGCTTACGCTTCCTTCTACAGAGCGGCGATGTATAAACAAACAAAATGGCAACCGCATGAACGTTTGTCTGGACAGACTGCGAGGTGGAGTTACTACAGTCAATCTACACTATGATGGGGAAGCGTTGATAAATTCAATAGGGTGAGCAGCATAAGCAGAGCTCGGGAGTCCGCCATTGTTGTTGTGATGGTCGACTTTCTCGTGCATGCCTAGTGACTGGAAGCGTAATGCGCATGTGCGAAAAGTGTCCGTTTTCAAAGGAACTGCATATTGCAAGTTTACATGACAATGGAGACGGTGCCGTTTCCAAAAAATTGCACTCTGGAACCCGTTCTCAAAACGTTGCGTTTTCAGGCACCCAAAACGCCGCTGTCGTGTAAATGATTGGCCAAAACGCAACTAAAGTTTAACATTTTCAGTTGAAATCATTGTCGTATAAACAGGACCAAAGTCTAACATGTCACTGTGGCTGTTTCTGCTTTCACTTTCCTCCCTGCAATTTTTTAGATTCTTCACAATAAAAGTCCCACATTATTCTGTTAAGTAAAAACTGTTATTGTAAAGCAGCAAAATAAGGAAATGCTGAGTTTTTCAGCAGCAACTTCACACAACTTCTAATACAGCTGAAAGTGAACATGAAACAGTAAAATAAATCACATATCTGAAGTACAAACAGGATGCAGGAGAGAAACTAAACTCCAACCACAGAGACTGAGTTAGAAGCTACAAAAGTACTGAGAGCTGATCACACGGAAAAAACGCCTTTCTCTCTGGTCTCCTGCAGACAGAGGTGAGTAGATTCTCGCAACACACACTGCTTGTTTCAAGGGGAGAAGCAGGGCTGTTGGGGGTTGGCTGCAGTCAGCGTGACGTCACAGGCACAGCTACCCGCTTGAGGGCGGGTGGCCCCGCTTTTGGACCTACTCCAGAGAAGGTCCATCTCTGGCACAGCTCAGTATAGCACGGTGCATCTATACTGATAATGGAAACGCAAATTGGTGCAGCTTGGCCTGACTTGGTGCAACCAAAAGTGACAGTGGAAAAGGCCCAGTAGATGTGCAACTTTTGGGCCTCAAGAGTGCAGTGCTGAGTAACACTTTGCAGGTACTGAATGGAAGCAAAGCAATTTATGCTTTATTAGCTTCCAAAAGATGAAGCTAAAGGCTACATAAAGCTGATGCCTTTTTAAATTCACTTAAGTCACTGATAACTGTGTTTGTGCTACGTATGTGTTTTTTTAACAGTAATGACAGGATGGTTGCATCAGCTTCTTGTTAGGGTCCGGGCAGCTAAGCTGCCAGGACACTACTGTAATCCTAGGTATTCTTCTTCTTCTTCTTTCTTCTTTCTTCTTCAGAGGAAATCATACTTCCCATGGGTGAAAACTCACCAAACTTTGCACAAAGGTCCAGTCTCATGCCAGATATCCTCAGCTGTAAACTCAAGCCAATAGTCCTGATGGTGGCGCTACAGCAAGCGTCTAAAGTTGAAAACTTTGAAAATTCATAACAAATCAACCATACGTGTTACAACTTTCACAACTTTTGTACATTTAAACCTATTAAAAATTATGAAGTTCATCACTCTGTTTTTTTCAAAAACTGTAAAATTTCTTAAACCTATTTCCTCCCACAATTTTTGCTCAATTGACACCAAACTTGCTACAGAGCATCTTCAGACTGTCCTACAAATCTACATTTCTCAGATTTTTGATATATCAAAAATTGAGCCTACAGTGCATCAAAATGTTTGACTGTAAACGGTACTGTAAACATGTACATGCAAATTCGTGCTAAATAAATCTTCAATGTTCATGGAAAAAAAAAGTCATGGTAGATGATGTGTGGCAAATTTTAGAATTTTATCTCAAAAACTGAATTTTTGACAGCATTTTGAATTTTGCTCTAATGTGAACAATTGGAGTCAATGTAAAAATGGCAATTTTAAACATCAGTTTTTCACTTATGGAGCAAATCAATCATTGTTACAAACAAATTACCAACATCTCCATGCTGTTGAGAAGCAATATGTGTATTTTCAGATTTTTGTTTCGATAACGGAATTTTTTTACAGTGGTTTGAAATCTGCTTTTCCATGCATGGACAGCTGCTAAACCTGCACGTCTGGCTTAGTCAATTTGTGAAGCTACACATGAATTGTCACTGACTAATTACCTCAGTGAGATAGAAACTTGATTCTTAGTCTCAGAGGTTGTGAGTTCAAGCCTCAGCTGATGCAAAAGGCAGATTGTGTTGCTAAATTCCTAAATGTCTTCCAATTCTTCTGCTTGTTGCTCAGAATTGCCTAAAAATGCCCGGACCCGACCCATCGCTGTGATTATATTTGATAATTATTTCAGTAGGCGGTGTGTGGTTTCCTTACGTAGCAGAGCAATTTGAGCATATTTGAATATTGGGGAGAATTTTTCTGCCTCAATATATATTATAATTATTGCCTAGATTGTACGGTTTTAAATTTGACAAAGTTTATGCCTCATGGCTTGTCTACACAGAAGGTCCTTCAGCTGCCTTTTCACTCACACTTCATCACCTTTTTCACTAATCTGTCTCACACGTCTGACAGAAGAAATTTTTTAAATTGTAATTAATACACCCGTTTACACAGATTGAGTAATGGATCTCATTTTGCTTAGACTCTGCCTGTGTAACTGCAACCCCGGTGTACCTTAATAAAATGTCTACACAGGTTAAATAGTGAAAGAAACACATTAGTAGTGCCATCTTCAGTCCTATATCTGTGTCTACACAGTGAGTTCAGAGAAATTTAGATGGATTCAGGATTTAGATTAAAGGCTTTCAGGTTAAGGATAGGGTTCAGATTATGTGTTTTCCTCACCAGTTGCTCTATGCGTTCATACAGAAGAAACTGAGCGAAGTTAGAAGGGAGCTGTTCCACTCGAAAGCTGCATCGTCCATCCACCAGGTCCTGGAGTTGGAACAGACAGTGGCGGAAATGGTTGTAGGCATCACAGGAAACATCCATGTGTCGCAAGGTGAAGTTCATCCTTGTGAGAAATCCAGGCACAACGGGAAACACGATCACTGCTTGAGCTTATAACTTGTTTGTGTGTGAGCTATAAACAAACCTTAGAATAAAAAAAAGCTTATGCTTCACACATATCATCAAAACCCAAAAGAGAATTACCACTTTGCGGTTGTATGCCAATATGAACCAGTCAAGCTTCTCTTATAGTCTACATCTGTGAAAACGTGGATGCCTCACACACATCTTCCCCCTGACAACACAGACGATCCATACAATAAGCACAGTTTCAAGATTAGTGTAACCATTCAGTATCTGACCAAATGTCTCCCCTTCTGTTCTTGAGATATGATGTTTAATAATGGCCAAAACGGGTTTTTGTAGAACATTATGCTAGATATAAAATGTGATCACTTGTTGATTTTATCCTATTAGACACTTGTGAAAATGCATCATAATTAGTGTTTGAATATCTGAATTATGGCCAGAAACATGTTTTGTGAGGTCCTGACCTTGACTTTCAACCATCAAATTCTCATCAGTTCATTCTTGAATCCAAGTGGAATAAAAGTAACAAAAGAAGCTCCCTGTTTCACTCTGTGTATACTATACTTAGGGCAGAGAGACAGAGGGAACTGGTTAACAATACAGAGAAGCTGTTTAATGATGTATATTTTTGTGTATATCATAAGCGGGTAACAAATATATTTTGGCATTTCACATTTCATCTGGAGAAAGATCACCTATTTCTGAGGTTCACCAAATTCCAACAGAGCCGTGGCACCAACTCTTCCACTTAACTGTTTACCATCTCAGTTAATCTTTGCATCCTTTTCTGGCTGAATATGACTATCCTTCATCTTTGTCACTTGGCTACTCAGAAGCTTCATGGTGAAAAATCTGCCTGTTGTACATGTTTATCTTCACACAAGGAGTCTCACAGAAGTCCGTGAGTCCCCTTCTGACACCAATGACAGTCAATCATACAAAAGACGGTGACCGGGTGGGGGCAGTGTACTGTATTTGGACCTGTTTTTTTTGTTCTTTAATGTGTGAACAAACACTGACAAACACCAACATGCAAATCAGGAAATACTGTAAACATAACAAAATATACATAAAGAAACAACATTTAACTGAAATACATAACATTTAGAGCTGATGACAAGGCCTAATTCATAATGAACGCATATTTAACTACATTTTAGGAAACTGTTGGAACAGATTTCCCTGAATATCCCGGCTTCCATTCACACATGACCCCATGAAGGAAATGTTTCTAAACATCTCAGGGATAGACAGAATGTGTGAAAGGGGCTCACATAAATGGAGCCTGGGTTTGTTGAATGTGGCAGTGCTGTTTGGGCTGAGAAAGCCATGTGTAAGTAAGGTAAGGAGGTAGTTGGGTTGGTGCGGGGAGCAGTGAGAGCTGGCATTACGGGAGTGTCTCTGGGACGCCAGAGGTCACTGTCTAGCCTCCTGGAGGTGTCGTGGGACCAACTCGACGAAACACTGGTGAAAGGAGGTTCCCACCTGATTAGGGTTCGGTATCGTTTGGGTTTTTTCTGATACCGGTGCCGAACCGATACTTTTAAAAAAACGGTACCGGTGCTTAAACGGTGCCTGAACCGATACCTCAAAATATGAGTTTTTTATGGAGGTTGAAAAGTGGCACAAATGGGCCACCTTTCAGAAGTGTGTATTTTGTATAACAGTTTTAAATTATAATAAAAACAATGTTTTTATTTATTTATTTCTGAGGGAAATAAACAGGTATATGAACACTATTAACAGTTTTAAAATAGAATAAAATAAAAAATAATATTAACTCTATTAAAGTCAGGTCTCTGTAGGCAGCCCAGGCTCCGCAAATGGCAACAAAAACATTTGGGTCCAGGCTGTACCAACCAGCCAGCACAAGACCAGTGAAAGCAAGCACACACACATGAACGCGGTGCCTATGTCTCACAGTCTCACGCAAACGTGCACAAGTGAACACGGTGCACAGAGAAGCAGTTAGAGCTGCAGGCTACAATGAGGCTAAAAACAGAGTTCAAATGACGTTTTTCCAAACAACTTTTTATGTCAGGCTTCAGGACACTTGGATCACTACGAACGAGCAGTATGGAGATATTTTGTGGTTTCAATTATCTGTTTTTGGACGTTTGAATGTGGGGTGCCGTAAGCCTCCATTAGGTGGAGTTGTGTTGCTACGTCCTCTCCCCTTGGATCTCTGCAAGTGTTGTGAGGACTCTAAGACTTCACCTGAGCGTCCATCGGCATATGGCTGAGTAGATAATGGGTGAATTTTCATGTTGGGTTCACTATCCCTAACAGGTGTGTAAATCCAGGGTAACTAACAGCTATCGCTTGTTCATGACAGAGTCACGGAGGACGAGGGGGGGAGGAGGGAGGGGCGAGCTAGCTCCGTTGTGTTTGATAACATTGTTGAACGTAAACAGAAGTGACGCCCAACGGTGCTTAGCGTGCCTTTAAATAATAATATACACTCAACAAATGAACAAATGAATGAATAATGATTCTGTTACGTGTAACGTCCAATAGAGGGAGACATAGCGTTAAAAAAACAGCACCGAAAGGAGGCACCGTAATGTGCGTTTTGTTTCGGTCCGGTAGGTATCGGTTGTATAGGTACCGGTTCCATATAAGAACCGACTTTCAGTACTCAACCCTACACCTGATGATCCAAAAGGTGTGTTAGTTATCACTGTTCATTGGTCTGTATAGATAAGCCTTGCCATAATAGCTTATCATAGGGCTTAGAAGGTTATTCACTGAGCACTGATCCTTTCTCTAAAGCACAAATTTCTTGTGTTTATTTGAACTCAGAACCAGCCCAGCTAGTTACTGCTGTGATTAGGGCAGCTGACAACAAGGGAAAGACCATGTGACCGCTTGGAAAGACAGCTGGCAGGAGGGCAAAGACCCCAAAGGTGCTGGCATGAGCTAGCAACCCATGGCAGCTGTGGTGGGGCCTAGCAGCCTTGCTACAACCAAAATTAGCTACAGCCAACATAGGGAAAATACCCCAAGAGTCAGCGAGAGCAGGGGTGAAAAATGACTCGCATTTGGATTACACAGTAACAGACATTGGAACGGACACGACTATGCATTGGATCTGTGACTCAGTTTAGGATGGGGGCACAGACCTATCCACCAGGGCTAGAATTAGCAGCACTCAGGGCAAGGCGAGTGCATCTGTAGAGGATAAAAGTAGCTCATTTTAGATCATGATGCTTCAGGTTTGTTCTTGCTGCTGGCAGAAAGTAACATCTTTTAAAGGCCTCAGAACTCATCAGGGAAAGAAGAAGTGTGTGGCAAAGAAAGGGCAGAGTAGCCGCATTGATCAGTACTTCCTAAGAAGTCAGTCGAGTCAGTCGGATGAAGTCCAGCGACAGGCAGAAAACCACAGTTGGCAGGATATCAGTAACACTGCCACTGAAGAGGAGGTAGTAAGAGGGGATGCAGGTGACACTGAGGTTAGCGGGCCAGTCAGAGAGAGAGCGATAGATCAAAAGGTTAGAGTTAGATGGCCTAGGGCAAATGACAGTAAAGAATGGGAGATAGTTAAAAGAGATTTGTCAGTAATCCAAAGCAGGCTTAGAAAAAATGCAATATAAAAGTTAGAAAAGATGAGAGATATAATTTACTCATATGGTGCAGAGAGGTTTGGGTGCATGAGAGAAAGAGGGGTGAGAGGGTACAGTCAGATAAGTGTAGGCGGCAAGGAGAAATAGAGAAGTTAGTTAAGGAAAGGAGACAGTTAAGAAAGCAGTGGAAAAAGGCTACAGAAGAAGAAAGGGAGGGAACTAATATTTTGCAAGAGGAGTTGAGAAGCAGGCTAGCAGCTCTTAGAAGGGCAGAGCATCTCAGGAAAATGAGGAGGAAGAAGGAATATGTAAGGACAGCTTTTTTCAGGGACCCTTTTAAGTTTGTTAAAGGATTGTTTAGCCAGGAAAAGGTTGGGCAGCTAAAAGCAGCACGGCTAGAGGTTGAAGAATATTTGAGAAATACATATTCAGAAGAAGAGAAGAATAGGATAGTAGGTTTTCCACCAGATATCCATTAGGAGGGGTGGAGCATGAGATGGATGTCAGACCACCTAGGTGGAAGGAAGTTCAGGAGGTGGTCAGGCGTGCAAAGGCTGCAAGGGCCTAATGGAGTCCCCTACTGGGTTTATAAAAGTGCATCTGATATCCTTAAATTTTTGTGGAAACAGCTAAGAATAGTTTGGGAGAAACAAATTATCCCAAGAGCATGGCGTAGGGCAGGGGGTGTCCTCATTCCTAAAGAGAAGGAGTCTGTGGACCTTACCCAATTCCGGATGATTTCTCTATTGAATGTAGAGGGGAAGATTTTCTTTAGTGTAGTAGCGCAGAGATTAGCTTGCTACTCAGAAAGGAATAGCTTAATAGATACTATGGTGCAGAAGACAGGAATACCAGGTTAAGCAGGGTGTTTAGAGCATACTGGCATGATCTGGCACCAGATTCAGGCAGAGAAGATTAAAAAAAGGGACATGCATGTAATATTTTTAGATCTTGCAAATGCATTTGGTTCAGTACCACGTAGCCTCATTTGGAGTGTGTTTGACTACTTCAAAGTGCCGCAGGTAGTTGTTAACTTAGTGAAAGCATATTTTCAGGATATTAGGTTGTGTCTAAGTACTGCAGGTTTCACAACAGGTTGGCAGAGGCTATAAATAGGTATTATGGCAGGGTGTACAGTTTCTCCATTAGCATTTACTATGGCGATGGAAGTAATCATCACGACTTCCAAGTGGGTGGTAGGTGGGGAGAGATGGCAGAACGGGGTGCATCTTCCGTTAGTTAGGGCTTACATGGATGACATGACACTGGTGACCACATCAATGCCATGTACAAAGAGGCTACTAGAGAAGTTAAATAAGAACCTCAAGTGGGCCAGCATGAAGATTAAGCCTTGTAAGTTGAGAAGCATGTCAATACGTAGAGGGAAGTTAAGTGATAGGAAGTTTGTCATAGATAATGAGGAAATCCCAACAATTAGGGAAAAGTCAGTAAAGAGCTTAGGTAGGTGGTTCAATGTTGAGTTGAATGATTAGGAACAGGTGGTGAAATTTAGAAAATATGTGGCTGAAGGATTGGATAGAATAGATAAATCATAACTTCCAGGAAAGTTGAAGTTGTGGTGTTTGCATTTTGGGCTATATCCTAGGTTAATGTGGCCACTGTCAATTTATGAAATTCCAATATCCGTTGTGGAGAGAAGTGATAGGTCAGTCAGCTCCTATATTAGAAAGTGGTTGGGCGTTCCTAGGTGTCTAAGTAGTGTTGCATTGTATGGAAAAGAGATTCTTCAGCTGCCAGTATCTAGTTTAACAGAGGAATTTAAATGTACCAAGGTCAGGACAGAGCTGTTGTTATCTGGGAGTAGGGACGTGGTAGTTAGGAGTGTGGTTCCAAATCCAACCAAGGGGAGGAAATGGAACCCAAGATCGGCAGTTCAGGAGGCAGAGGTAGTTCTTAGGCATGCAGAGATTGTAGATAATGTTCAGTTTGGCCAGAGAGGCCTAGGGCTTGGCTCAGGCAAACCGGTATGGAATAAAGCAGGTCCCAGAGATAAAAGAAAGCCGGTTGTGGAACAGATACGTAGACAGGAGGAGATATTAAGGGGTGCAAAGGTAGTGGCCAGGCTAAGCAGGGACAGTGGTTGAACTGGGAAAGTGTAGAGAAGAGGAAGCTTAGTTGGAGGGACCTGTGGAATATGGAGGAGAATTGTATTAGATTCCTGGTAGGGGCTACATACGATGTGTTACCAACCCCCCAGAACCTAAAACTGTGGGTAAATGGGGACCCATTATGCCCATTGTGTTCATGTACTGCAACTTTAATGCATATTTTGTCAGGCTGTAAAGTTAGCTTGTCACAAGGCCGGTATACATGGCGACATAACCAGGTGTTGAAAAGTTTAGCTTTCGAAATAGAGTATGGTTAATGTGCTAGGAAAGGTAGTATCAGCACGGTCACTACCTGGAGGTTGCATAAATGGAGCCTGGGTTTGTTGAATGTGGCAGTGCTGTTTGGGCTGAGAAAGCCATGTGTAAGTAAGGTAAAGGAGGTTGTTGGGTTGGTGCGGGGAGCAGTGAGAGCTGGCATTAGGGGAGTGTCTCTGGGACGCCAGAGATCACTGTCTAGCCTCCTGGAGGTGTCGTGGAACCAACTAGACGAAACACTGGTGAAAGGAGGTTCCCACCTGATGACCCCAAAGACGTGTTAGCTAACACTACTCATTGGTTTGTATAGTTAAGCCTTGCCATAATAGCTTATCATAGGGCTTAGGAGGTTATTCACTGAGCGCTGATCCTTTCTCTTGAGCACAAATTTCTTGTGTTTATTTGAACTCAGTATACTCAGGTACGAGGTATTTTCATCAACCGAATGACATGATTATGACATTCCACAAGCAGTTGTGGAAATCTCACTAACCAAACACAACCGCAGTGTGGATGTTTTGTGCTAAACCATGGCTACCAGGACCAACATGCTTAAAGATACCTAGATGGCATTTCTCCTTACCTTTTCTCTATGGAGATGAAGATCGTGCAGGTGTGAGAAAAGCTACAGCAGAGTCGGTACAGTGTTCGGAAAAGGCCATCTGTCAGATCATCATCATAGCAAACTGGTGACACAAAAGAAAAAAAAAGTTGAAATATTTAATCTGCTTATTTGTTGGTCTGTGCATATGTATTCTATGTTTCTGCGATTGATGTTCCAGCTTTAAAAGCTTACATTAGAGCTGCGATATGCATTACTTGAACAGGATCCATTACAAATCCAATAATCAAGTCTGCTATTATAAGTACATGGCGTTCATTTTGATAAGACACTCAGCTGGAGGGTCCATGTTGAAAGTCTATGCTCTCCCCAATGGAAGCCAAAACATCTCGATTGGCCCCTGGTGGAAGGCTGCAGTGAAGGTCATAAAGCCTCCATGCCTCCATATCAGTAGATGGCAGAGGTGGAAAAAGTACTGAAAAATTCTACTCAAGTAAAAGTACTTTACTTTGATGAATTTCTACTTAAGTACAAGTAAAAAGTAGTTCGTTTAATATGTACTTTTTTTTGTGGAATATTTTATTTTCAGTTTTATGTAATTACACAAAGAACATATCAACATAACACAAAACAAGGCACAAAAAAAAAAACAAAAAAAAAAACAAGTCCCCACCCCACAAAAAAAAAAGCCCCAAAACCCTCAGCAAACAACAACAACAAAAAAAAGGTCAGTGCATAAAGTCAACCCAAAAGATCACATCAAGGACTTGACACAAGAGGCGCAGCCAAGTAATCCAAATAAGGCTGCCAAACTTTCAAAAAGGTGTCATATTGTTTTCTTATACTGTATGTAATTTTCTCCAGGGGAATGCAATTGTTAATCTTCAAAGACCACCTATTGATAGGAAGAGGGAATCAGATTTCCATGATACTGCAATGCACTTCCTGGCCACACACAGAGTAATTTCCATAAATTTAAGTTGTGCATTATTTAGAGAACCACGAATACTTGTAAAGTTCCCCAGTAAACAAAGCTCCGGGTCCGGTGGAACATTAACTCCTGTAATCCTGGTCAAAGTGGAGCAGATGTTATGCCAGAAAGGCCTCACCTTTGTACACAGCCAGGTACAATGCAAAAAGGAACCAATTTCAATATCCCATCTGAAGCACATTTCTGACAAGTTAGATTTTAAAGAATGTAATTTTTCTGGGGTAAGGTATAACTGATGTAGAATATTATAGTTAATCAATCTATAGCGGGCGTTAATAGTAGCCGACAAGCTGCTTTGACATAAATCTGCCAAGAGCTGTTCATCAATTGTAACATTGAGATCTTATTCCCATTTCATTCTAGATTTGTGCAGACCGGGTTTTGGGCCCTCATTTAGCAATAGACGGTACATTTTGGAAATGAATTTACATGCATTCCCCTCACAAAGCAATCTCTCAACATCATTAATGACAGGCAAGATCATTTCGGGACCCAAGTTAGCTCTCAGAAAAGATCTTAATTGGAGATAACAAAAAAAAGTTTGATTGGACAAGTCATATTTTCTCTTCAGATGCTTGAATGACATGAGAAGTCCTTTGTCAAAGCAGTCCTCCAAACGATGGATTCCTTTTTGATGCCATACATCCAAAATCTTATTGTTTAGAGTCATGGGTATAAGTTCATTTTGTCTTAAAGGTGTTTTAGGTGACAGTCCCACTTTCAATCCAAGACTTTTGTGAACCTCATACCAAATTTTAATCAAATGCTTCAATATAGGGTTATCTGTCCTGTTGGCTACCGTTCTACAGTTATGCTTATAAATGAAGTTACTGTGTACCTTTTCTTTCAGGAGATGCAGCCCAATTTGTGTCCAAGGGGGTGGGCCACTGCCCTCAAAAAAGGATTAGATAAATCTCATTTGAGCTGCTAAGTAGTAGCTTTTAAAACTGGGTAGTCGAAGTCCCCCTAATCCATAGTCCCATGTTAACTTCTCCATTGATATCCGGGGTGCCTTACAGTTCAATATTAATTGTCTGACATATTTATTAAGAGTTTTAAAAAAGGATTGTGGTAATGGAATGGGTAGGGATTGAAACAGATATTGCAGTCTTGGTTGTACATTCATTTTAATACAATTAACTCTGCCAATCAGGGTGAGAGGCAAACCCATCCACCTACGTAAATCATCTTCAGTCTTACTGAGCGATGGGAGGTAATTCAATTTATATAGGTTTTTGAGGTTGTTGTCTACAATTATTCCAAGATATTTTATACCGTTAGAAGGCCGTCTGAATGAACTAGTACGCTGGAGTTTGGAGTGATCAAAATTTGTCAATGGAATAATTTCACTCTTTTCCCAATTCACCTTGTAACCTGAAATATTACCATAAGTATTTAATATAGTTTGTAATTTGGTAAGGGAATTGTCAGGATCTTTTAAGTATAAGATAACGTCATCCGCCAGGAGATTAATTTTATGAACTGTCTGATCCACATGGAAGCCCTTTATATCAGGATCCTGTCTGATTACGTCAGCTAAAGGCTCAATTGCCAAGACGAAAAGTCCTGGGGCCGGTTGCACCAACTGGTCTTTACTACGCCTGGTCGTAACTCCTAAGACGGTCTTTGTTAAGACCAGTCTTAAGGAGTGGACTTACACCGGTTGCACCAACAGGGCTTACGCCTGGTCTTAGCTACGCTGGTTTTAGCTGTGCGCATCCATGTGAATGCCCCCGGAATGCCCCTCGCAGCCTGCCTAGAGGAGCTTGGTGACGTTAAATGATGCTCCGCTGAATCACTCTTTGTGCTTGACAGATGACAATTGACAGTTGACAGCCCCTCTCATCTGTGTTGACAGTTTATTTACAGTTTAAGATTTGAAGAAAACTTGAAGGATCAACGAAAAACTTTACCGACAATGAAATTAGAAAATTAATCAAGCTGTACAGCGAGCACAGAGACGTATCACAAATAAGAACAAACAGTCGGTATGGGCAGAGATAACAGGGCATATCAATACGTGTTCAGACTCTGGCTGCCTTCATACAGAGGCTGACATGAGGAAGAAGTGGAAAGATCTTCTCAGCAAGGCAAAAAAATACATCTCCAAAAAAAATCATCCAACTGGCGGGGGTCCTCCCCGAAAACCTCAATTTACAGTGACATCATTGTTGACGTATTTGGGGAGGATTCCCCTGCCTGGTGGGAAGGCTGGTGGTAGTGCTGCGTTGCAGCCCAACACAAACTGTAAATCCAGTGACAGCTCTCTCAATAAGTTCAAACAGATCTCTCCTACTGAACTGAAACCTCTCAATCAGCTCCCCGTCATTATATAGGCTATGTCAAATTGCTTCTGTCCCTAATTACTCTCTCCCGTCTAAATGCCCGCTCGTATACAGACGTGCCATAATAAAGTTGCGCTCTCTGCACTCTAGAGCGCATGAGCGCAGCTTGATAATGACCTTACACCTGCTCTTGACTAGGTGTAAGATTTATGCCCGGTCTTAGTGAGAAGAAGTCTTAAGCCCTGTTGGTGCAACCGGCGTAACTATTAAGTCGGACTTAGAACGCCAAGTTACGACCGACTTAGCTTAAGACCAGGCTTAAGACCAGTTGGTGCAACTGGCCCCAGGAGACAAAGGGCATCCCTGTCGGCTTGATCTACCTAAGGGAAACATAGATGAAACTTGTCCATTGGTGCTGATTTTTGCCCGTGCTTTGTGATAGAGAGTTTTTACCCAATTAATAAATAGTGGGCCAAATCCAAACTTGGCCAATACTTTAAATAAATACGGCCACTCTAACCTATCAAAGGCTTTCTCCGCATCTAAAGCCACTGTTATACTGGGCTCTGTTTCAAATTTTGTTAAATGAATAATATTAAAGAGCCNACTGTTATACTGGGCTCTGTTTCAAATTTTGTTAAATGAATAATATTAAAGAGCCTACATAAATTGTTAGCTGAGGAGCGTTTTGAAATAAAGCCACTCTGGTCTGGATTTATTAGTTGTGGGTTTAAAATGTACTTAAAGTAGAAGTTACTTAGTTACTTCCAATAACTTGATGGGGGTCACTCCTATGCAGTGCAAAAATGGTGCAGGGGTCATAAATCCAATCCAGAAACTGGTTATTTTTCTATGATGAACCATAGAATTCAATCAAATTTAGGGCTGTGCAATATCATTAGAGCATCACCATCGCAATGTGTTCTTGTGCAATAGTCACATTGTGAGACTTGCAGTATAAGTTGATTATATCAATATAATATTAGTCAAAGGCAATATGCCATACTTATTTTGCTGGTTAATACTTTAGGTTGTGAAGTTCTCAATTTCCAGGACAGTCTGATTGTAAAATGTATATTTCATGCAAATACAGCCTTTCCAAAGCCCAAATGATGACTTCTTTCCAAATAGAGCTATTTAAGTTATTGCAATAAGCTACTGCAATACATATCGCAGTATACAAAATCGTCGTCGCATTGTCAGTTTTGTCTAATATTGCGCAGCCCTCATTCATTTTGACTCACCAACACAACTGTTAGACTGATGATACACAGAGCAACTTTTTGAGCAATGTTGTTTGGCATTATTCTCAGGGATGCAAACAGGTGTATGGTCAAAAAAGAGAGAGCTTGTCGAAGCGAAATTCTCAATATTAAAATACACTAACACTAATTTGGATCCAAAACAGAACAATTCCACTGAGCAACAGTGTTTCCCCTATATGCAACTAGCAGCGGTGGTGCTCCGCTGCTGAAATATGATCGCTGCTGCTGATTTATTTTTCTTTTTTTGGTCTTAGCTCTTTAGAAACTACTGTTATATTATTTGCCGCTACGGATGCTTCGTATCCAGGTCAATTCACACACTAGTGAATAAAGCATTTAAGAGGAGAGGAGAGGGCTCCGTCTTATCTCTTCATAAACTAAAGTTATATTATTTTGAGCGACAGACACTCCATATAATAACATATACTATTTATCGTGTTATACGGTGAAACGTTTCACTTTATAATGTGATGACTTAAATTGTTTACACGATGGCATGTCATTTCTGTCTCTACATGGTTGCACCTTTACAATCCTCCTCTGTATTGCGCACAGCGGAGTTCAGTCCCGATGCGCACACCCACACACACAGACACAGGTGAGCACACAAGAGCACGGCTCGGGCCGCATTTTTCTGACCAACAATTATAAACGGCACTGTGCACACAGGGTTTTCTTTCGTTTCGTTCGTTTCTTCATTCATTTCAACTGCGGCGTCTCCTTGTGCTTCTGCTGAAGCACTCCCACCCTTCTCCATCTCTCTCTCCAGTAACTTGCCGGCACCGGCTGCTTGTTCTGGGTCAATTCCACACGAGGTTTTTCGAGATTCACCCTTTTGGTTTCCATTTAGCCGAAAACTTTTTTTTTTTTTTTTACTCAGTAACGGATGTGATCTCCAATGTAGCGAAGTACAATACTTCAGTCAAAATTTACTTAAGTAAAAGTAAAATTACAGATTTCAAAAACTACTGAAAAAATTACAAATTACACAAAAAAACCTACTCAATTACAGTAACGTGAGTAAATGTAATTAGTTACTTCCCACCTCTGGTAGATGGGACATGGGCCAAACTAAAAACTGAAAGTAGACATCACTAAGAAACAAGATCATATTTCTCCTGTTTTAGCTTCTCTGCACTGGCTCCCTGTAAAATCCAGAACTGAATTTAAAATCTTTCTCCTAACGTACAAAGCTTTAAATGGTCAGGCTCTGTCATATCTTAGAGAGCTCATAGTGCCTTATTATCACACCAGAACACTGCGCTCTGAGAATGCAGGGTTACTCGTGGTCCCTAAAGTCTCCAAAAGTAGATCAGGAGCCAGAGCCTTCAGCTATCAGGCTCCTCTCCTGTGGAATCCTCTTCCTGTTGGGAGGCAGACACCGTCTCCACATTTAAGACTAGACTTTCCTTTTTGATAAAGCTTATAGTTATGGCTGGCTCAGGCTTGCCTTGTACCAGCCCCTAGTTAGGTTGACTTAGGACTAGTCTGCCGGGGGACCTCCTATAATACACCGGGCACCTTCTCTCTCTCTCTCTCTCTCTCTCTCTCTCTCTCTCTCTCTCTCTCCCTTTTGCTAACACTCATGTCCTGTTACTGCATCTTGCTAACTCGGCCATACTTCATGTCCCTAACTCTGCTTCTTCTCCGGAGCCTTTGTGCTCTACTGTCTCACAGGTTAACTTATATCGCAGCGGTGCCTGGATAGTGTGACGTGTGTGGTTGTGATGTTGCCGTAGTCCTGCCTGATGCCTCCTGCTGCTGCTGTTATAATTAGTCATACTTCTACTGTTATTATACACGATTATTGGCACATATGTATACTATCATATATTAATATATACTTTCAACGTATTGTACCACAATAGCCATAATTATTATAGTATTATTAATTTCATTAATGTTGTTGTAAGCTACTGTCATTACATTGTCTGTCCTGCATCTCTCTCTGTCTCTGTCTGTCTCTCTTTCTGTCTTATTGTGTCATACAGATTACTGTTAATTTATTATGCTGATCTGTTCTGTACGACATCTGTTGCATGTCTGTCCATCCTGGAAGAGGGATCCCTCCTCAGTTGCTCTTCCTGAGGTTTCTACCATTTTTTTCCCCCTGTTAAGGGCTTTTTTTGGGGGAGTTTTTCCTTATCCGCTGCAAGGGTCCTAAGGACAGAGGGATGTCGTATGCTGTAAAGCCCTCTGAGGCAAATTGTGATTTGTGATATTGGGCTTTATAAATAAAATCGATTGATTGATTGACTGATTGATCAAATATATTTTGGCCAAAAATGGTTTCTGTCATTTTAGGTAGTTCTAATCACACTCCTGTATGTGCAAGTGTTCGTTTTTCTGATAACATTGATTTTAATTAGTTATTTGATACTATGAAAATGAGGTTTGATGTCAAGATTGACAGCTGTGTTTGCCAATATGTGTACTCCGTGGTCAGTGGCGTTGCTCGCAATTGGTATTGGTATAGTAACTTCTCTGTACAGCTAAAATCACAAATTAAAAAAAAATAATAATAAAATTCACCCCTCCAAACAATCTTTAAGGAGTCTATTATCAGACAAGCACAGAATACCATGTCTAAATAAACTAAAATGCTTTACCCAGAGTTCCAGCTCTATCCCTCTGGTAGAAGATTCAGGGTTTCCCAGAGCAGACTGAACCCCTATAAACATTTATTTCTGCCCATGTCCATTAGGATTCTCCAAAAAGATGACCAAAAGTTGACTAAAATGTCATGAATTTTTGTTGACTAAAACTATTAAAAAATGACTAAAATGTGAATAAAACTAATAAGCATTTTTATCCCAAGACTAAGATTAAATTTAAATTAGCTTTTAAAATTAACAATGGATGTCACACAATATGGATGGTGTGTTTCACCCTATACACACACTCACATCCTGGAATAGAGGTACTCACTGAGTAAGTAACTTCTACTCAGTGTGCCATAAGAAAGGTTACTGTGAAGAAAACAGTTTACTGACGGGCTTCCCAACAAATTCCTTGTCAGTGAAGAGATTTGAATGCATCCGGATTTTTCCAGAGCTGTGGCACCTTCAGAGATTTGTTTAGTTTGATGACACAATAGAAAGGTAAAAGTGCTCTTTTCAGAGCATGGACCTCAGTTTTGTCCAGTGATGATCACCTGACCACACCAATCAATAACATCATAGCATACAACAAGCCAAGATTTTTCTTGAGATTTTTGCACCCAACTGCAAATTCATTCATTCATTTTCCATAACTACTTTTCATGTTAAGGGTTGCGGGGGGGCTGGAGCCTATCCCAGCTGACATTGGGCAAGAGGCAGGGTACATCCTGTGTCATGGTTCTGTTTCAGCACAGTAACTTTTTTAATGAAGCATGGTGTAAAGTTGTGCTGCATATCTTAGTTTCAACTCATCAACTCATTAACCTACCGTCAGCAGCGATGATAATCTTAGTGTTGTTGTAAATATCTGCTACTTCCTCCTCTGTCCAGCTAAACTCCATGTCAGCATCTACAAAGATCAGACAAATGGAAAAAGACATTTTCCACAGCTCAGATGGTGGCTGTTTTTTTGTAAAAATATGATGTAACAGTCAGTAGGGTTTAATTGTTGTTTTAATGTGTCAGATACATATTTACTCAGCATTACATATCTGCTGCTGCTACATGCATAAACAGTAACAATCAGATTGGAGTCAATGTAAAGGAAAATCATCATCAGATCATTTACAGTATTGGAATATATTATTGAAAACTGCTGATGCCCTGTTTTGCAATTCTTCAATGCTATTTGATGTGAGCTCCACTGCTGACCATGAGTGTCAGCTGCATCCCTCTCCTCTGTGCTCTGGGGTAGGGAGTGTGATGGTGGGACATCAATGATGAAATAATGAGCATAATTCGAGGTGAGATTTGAGTAAGCTTATAATTCTTGTAATCCAACTGAAAGGTGTTTATAAAAAAGTTATGGCTCACTACCAAAAGCACTAGTAACACAGCTGGATTGAATGACTATAATGAGGTGGATCTATAAGTAATGTGTGATATGAGGCAATATTAAATGTGTGAGAGCCATCGGTATATACAGTACAGGCCAAAAGTTTGGACACACCTTCTCATTCAATGCGTTTTCTTTATTTTCATGACTATTTACATTGTAGATTCTCACTGAAGGCATCAAAACTATGAATGAACACATGTGGAGTTATGTACTTAACAAAAAAAGGTGAAATAACTGAAAACATGTTTTATATTCTAGTTTCTTCAAAATAGCCACCCTTTGCTCTGATTACTGCTTTGCACACTCTTGGCATTCTCTCCATGAGCTTCAAGAGGTAGTCACCTGAAATGGTTT